CTCAAAAAGAGTTTTAGAGGAAAGTAGAGGAGATGGGGTGCGATTAATGAGATAAACGGCAGTAAGAATGCAATCCTGCCAGTATTGCAAAGGGATGTGGGATTGAAAATGGATGGCACGTGCCACATTAAGGAGATATTGGTGCTTGCGTTCTACAACAGAATTCTATTATGGTCGATCAACACAGGAATGGAAAATTTGAATACCTTTAGTTGAGAAAAAAATTGACAACTGGAACTCAGGTGCATTATCACAACGTACAGATTTAATAGGTAAAGAGTATTGAGTATGAATAAGATTATAGAATGAAGGAAAAACCAAACTGAAATCAGATTTTTTATGTAAAAAATAAATCCATGTGAATCTAGAAGCATCATCTACAATGGTAAGAAAGTAACGAGAGCCTTCTACAGAAATTGTGTGAAATGGGCCCCAGATATCACAGTGTATAATATCAAAAGGGGAGGCCAACAATTTGGGATTTAAAATAAAGGGAAGACATTTTTGTTTTGCAATTGGACAAACAGAACAATGATGCTCATTAGACAAATTTTCAGAAAAACCCAGCAAACATTTCATTGAATATTTAAAACAGAAATAGAAAGATGCCCCAGTCTAGTGCTAGAGAGGGGGATCTTTTACAGTCAAGGAAAAACAGAGGGGATGGGGAACATTATCTGCAAGGAAAAGATTTGTAATATCGAGGATGTAAAGGTCTCCGTGTCTTCTAGCAATCCCAATCGTCTTTGCTGAAGCACGGTCTTGAAGAAAATAAGAAGTGTCAGAAAAAAAACCAAGGATGGGTGAATCACGTGTAAGAGCACTAATAGAGAGGAGGTTAAAGAAAAATGATGGGACACATAAGACATTTTGAAGGGTTAAAGAATCAGTTATGGGAACGAACCCACAGCGGTAACCATAGCAGAAGACCTATTAGGAAGGGAAAGCACCGACGTAGAAGAAGAAGAAGAAGAAGAAGAAAAAATATTGATCGAAGAAGAAACATGATGTGTTGCACCTGTAAGAACCCACACCGTTAATTAAGGAAGTTAATTAATTGATTAAGAGAAATTAGAAAATAATTCCATAATTGACCCTAATAATTATTATGAGGCTTTAATAATTATAGTAAGTGAGTAATAATGCTGAAAGTCGCTTTTCTGACGAAAAGTGCAGATACCGGTTCTGCTACTCGGTATAAATGCGTACTGATGAAGTATCCCGAAAAATTATAATAAGTGCATGAATATTCCTAGAATAATATGTAGGACTGTGATTTCAAGTTAAAATAACGAGAACTGGTGCCAGAACTGATACTGGCTACTGTAACACCCCGTATATATCCGGTAGTGTTATCATTACATCGTATTAAGCTACGCTTAATTAAAAATGCGGAATATTCTTTTCTTTTCAATTATGACGTCATTATCAATTACAACTTGATTACTTAATCAATTTCATAAAATATCGCATATACGTAAATTGCAATAAGACATATACTGAAATACCTCAATATATATATATATATATATATATATATATATATATATATATATATATATATATATATATATAAAGTGAGTATCTAAATCACAGATCTACATCATGTAGTCCGGACAATATCCTGATACATTATTACAACTCCAAATCAAACTAAGACATAAACCAGTCTATGTGTCATGGACAATCCCCATGCTCACCAAATAAACAGCGTCTCAACAAGATAAAACATAATCATAAACTGGAGCTAAAAACATAAGGCAGCATCCAACATGTCAGCATAAATACAGGAAATCTAACTCAGCTTCAGCCTCCTGCCGCCTGAGGTCTCAACATTACCTGAACCTGAAATAAGCGCCCCAAACGTGGGGTGAGATCTCTAAACTAGAGATCTCAGTAAGACAAGGGGTCCTCAAGGATCTTCCACCCCAAGCTCACTTACATGTGCAATATAAGTTCTCAAAACTATGTAGTGCAACAGATATCTATGTCATGTGTGCTTATCACTATCTACTGGCCAGAGAAATGTAGGAATACGTCTATACCTACATGTAGTACAAGGAACACCGCTTGCACCTCACCCACAGCCTCACCATATTGTATGTTCTACATACTCAGGCTTACCGTATAGGTGGAACACCTCCATGCATATCAACAAAGCACTAACATATAACAGCTCAACAGCATTTCCAAAACATCAAAAGCATGTAACACAACATGCATATACCATACCCCCATGGGACATGGTGGAACCACAACATGGCTAAACCGAGGACACGAAAGCTTACCTCTAAGCTAGCTATCTAATGCCAAGAGTTCTCACAGCTCAAGTCCAACACACAGCAGATCACAATCTGATTTAGAACCAGCAAGTGTATCAACATACATAGCTCAAAAGCATTAACATAAAGACTATGTTCTCCTTTAACGATTTACGTCTTAAGGTTTCCAACAAAGCCTCAAGCCCTTAATCACATGATTCTGACTTAGTTCATTAATTACAGAAGTTCAACTTCATCAATCTAGGGTCCACAAACCCCCAATAGCCTACTGTACACACAACACAGCTACTGTTCTTCGAAATCCCAGAATATCCGGATATTCCATGGGACATATCCGGATATGCAATATCCGAATATCTCACTGTCCATATCCGGATATGCAATATCCGGATATATAGATTCCCATATCCGGATATCCAAATCCCATATCCGGATATCACATATCCGGATATTTCTCGGGCAGATATCCGAATATTTCACGACAGAATGCAGAAACTGCATTTCGTGAAGATATCCTTCCAAGGTTGGGTTTTTACTGATTCTAGATATTAAGCATGCATTTCTATGTGTGTTAATCGTTACCCAACATTAAGTTATCAACTTTTAACCTTTACATGCATCAAGGTACCATTTTTAAGCATTAAACTCATGAACAAAGGTTGGTACAACATACCAAGGCTCAGAACAAAGAGGCTCTTGGAGCTCACTAGACACTCCCAAGGTTTTGTCTCTCACTGCACACGAAAATGGTGCACAAATGTGGTTCTTTCACACAACAAGGAAGCTCCTTGAAGCTTCAAAACACAAAGAGAAAGCCTTCTCCTTCCCAAAACGTGAAAATAGCAAACTCAACCTCACAAGACAGAAACCACACTCAGAAATGAAGTCTCTTTCTCACTCCCAAAGATTGTTCACACTCCCTCAAGGTGTTTACAAGAGAAAAAGTGAAGAATCAAGGAAGAAATGGCCTTGAACCTCAAGAAAAGGAAGGAGAAAACCCAAAGGCTGTGTTTCTGGTCAGCCACCAACACACTCACGCAACAAAAATCTGGTATTTAGGGTAATGTTCCCTTAAATGAGTATATATAGCTACTTTCAAATAAAACACACAATATTAGATTTAATTGCTACGCTTAGCATTTTAATCCCAAAATTTAGATTCTTAACCTACTCAATTTTACAAGAATTTTCATATTTTTATTATATTTTTCGGAGCACCTTTTCGGTACACGCTTTTTCTTAGCCAGTATCAGTTTCTGGCACCAGTTCTCATTATTTGGATTTGAAACTCGTTTTACAAGTCCTACATATTATTCTAGTAATTATCATGCACTTATATTAATTTTCCGGGATACTTTTTCGGTACGCATTTATACCGACTAGCAGAACCGGTATCTGCACTTTTCTTCCGAAAAGCAACTTTCAGCATTCTTAATCACTTATCATAATTATTAGAGCCTCATAATAATTATTAGGGTCAATTATGGAATCATTTCCTATTTTCTGATAATTAATTAATTAAATACCTCATTTAACGGTGCGGGTTCTTACAGCTACGTAAAAACGCGTACCGATAAGGTGCTGCGAAAATTAATATAAAAATATGATAAATCTTGTAAAATTGAGTAGGTTCAGAATCCTAAGTTTGGGATTAAAATGCTAAGCGTAGCTATTATTTTTAATACTGTGTGTTTAAAGCTTAAGTGCCTATAAATACAACTTTTGGGCTCAAAACCCTAGGAAATTTCTATTCCTACGTGACCTTTGGAGGCTGATCAGCCTTGGTACTGTTCCATTGCTTGTTCCCTTTCAAACTTGAGCTTTCTCCCTTGAAACCAACCAAGTCTTAGCATTTCCTTTTGATTCTTCCTCTTCCATCTTGTGTGCACTTAAGAGTATACATTATGGGGAAGAAAGACACCTTCTTGCTGAGTTTAGCTTCGGAGTTGTGTTACTTGGGGCTGAGTTTGTGAACTACCTTAGTGGAGGCTTTGTTCATGACTTTTGTGGTGCCAAGAAGTGATCTGTTGGCTTAAAGGACCAAGTTTGGTGGTCAAATTCGTGTCTTGCCTAAGTCTGAACTTTGATGCTGTGTTGAGGACCCTTATGGTGTCTCATTTTCGGATTTTTGGAGCTTAAGGATATATCATGAACACCTCTTTGTCTTTTGATGATTTTAAGCTTGTTTAATCGGTTAAAAAGTAAAACTTTGATCAATTGAATAAATGAATGTGTTTCTGAGTCCTAAGCATGTTAATAAACATATGTTTAAGGAGTTCTTAGACTCCAGATCGAGTTTGGATCATTGGAGATCAATTATACCTTTAAAACTCAGTTTTCTGCATTCTGTCGAAGAAGTATTCGAAGTGGCTAAATTGCTTTAAAAACGTGGCTACCAAAAACAACCACACTTTTTGTTAATGTGGCTAATCGTGGCGTTGCAATATTTTAGCCACATTTACTTCTTTACTTAACCACATTTTATTTGAGTGTGGTAGCATTCATTTAGCTACGTTTATTGATTATATTTACAACAGTTTAAATGTGGTTATTTTAATGATTATTTTTATAAAAAAAAAATTACAGCCAAATTGTGGCTGAATTCACAGAATTAAAAAACAATAAAACGAATAAAATTTAGGGGGGAAATGGATATAAATATCATTAAAAGTAACTTCAAAAATGATTTGTTTTATCTCATGAAGAAATCTAATATTGATAAGACTTAGAATTTACAAACACTAAAGATTATTTTAACTAAAAATGGGTCACTTAAAATTTAAAAATAGTTGAGTTATATTCTTTTAATAGGACCAACCCTAGTCACCATTTAAGGTAGTATGAGCCTAGCCATTAATAACAAGACCATCAGAAAAGGCAATAGATTTTCCTGAATCCAAAGACTGCTCTAATGCCTGCATGTATCAAAACAAAAAGAATGAATATTAAGTGGCAAATTTGTAAAAGAGCACAATGCATTGAGGAATCATTACCAAGACATAAAAAGGTCCTCATCTTTGAGCAGAGTAACTAGGGGTTTTCACGTACCACAATGCTAAGTGGGGCTGCAAAGACACTCACAAAAGATGATGTAAATGATCTCTACCACACATCCAAATGAGTTAATGGTAATGAGGAGAACAACATCTTTTTTTGAGTAAAGCATAGTATAACCAAAGCATGGAACTGAACAGTGCCACCACTTAAGGCAGTGATTAAAACCCCCTGTCAATTTCTTCTTGTATATTCAGTAAATTGTTGATCGTTAAGAACATGGTTAGCACTAACTTGTGATGGTTAGATATTAACTTATGATGGTCCATGAAGATAATTAACAAAGAAAGCATTTCTGTATAATAGTCAAACATGCACTGCACTAGCCCATTAAGACAGCAGAAAAATAAAACATGCAAGCGTGATGGAATGCATGGTACCCTAACATAATTGGAACAAATCATATATATGTAAGCAAGTGAATGAACATAAATTATTACACATACCATATAACACCTTCTTTTTCTTTTATTCCCTAACATGCCCTGCACACAAAATACAAAAATCCATTCCACATAAATTTCATATAATCGCTAATACTCTTATAAACATTTTAATGATTGAAAATTGTAGTTCTTGGCATTTATTCAGCATGAAGTTCAAGGTGTTTCCTTTTGGCCAAGTATTGCATCCTTTCTTTTTCCTTTTCTTGTATGTCTGTGTTTGAAAAAAGTCCGAACTATATATATATATATATATATATATATATATATATATATATTACTGTCAACTATTTTTCACATATCTTTTTTTTCCACTAAAGAAACTAGGAATAGATAGGTTGCTCTGATCCTCCGTTAGTGCCACGGAAGGATCACTTATAAGTATTTTAAGCCAACCCTTTTCCTTCCACTATTACAACTAGAAGCACCCCATAAACGTTGTAGTTTTACAGAGCTCAAACTAATTCTCAGGCTTAAGTTTTGAATTCTAACTTAATGTGGAAAGAATAACCAAAATATTTTAATACAACACGTAAGTTTGATTCATCTACACAAAAGGCATCTCAGTCAAATAAATACATTACTAAAATAAATTCTAACCTCAACAAAAATTGTCATATTACTAAGATAATCCATATTTTCCTGACCTTAGCCAATGTATTAAAAAGGGTAGCACTAACTCCAGGAGTACTTGCCATTTTCTGGCCAACAGCTGCCAAAATGCTACAATTTGGAATGATCAATAAACAAGTTAATTTGCCAATGGCACATACTAATGCTCAATACTAACACCAGCCGAGAGAGACTATAAGTGTAAATCTTACCACAAAGCAAATGAAAAATAGCCAGCACTCCACACCTTCGCTCTTGAATTATCAGATACTAAGTACTTTACATCTGAAGTTAGCATGTTACTGAAGCCATTTGTAGATAGCTGGCTTCTCAAATCAACATAGGACCTCTCTGCCGTTATGGCAGCCATGTGCCTTTCCTCCTTCGCCAGAAGGATAGATTTTTCAATAGCCTCCCAAGGCCATATCTTTATAGCTCCTCATTCTGAACCCGACCACAGATCCCTTGGATTAACACAATAAAGGAAAAAAGGATAACAACGTATCACATTCACAACAAGCACGTGAATCAACCAATGAACAACAAGTCCCACTGCCAATTTATCAGAATTTCTTTCATATTTACAGTACTAGTAACCTAAATAACTAAACTAAAACTTTCATAAACTTAACATCCCAATTAACACCGACTAGTTAGGGTAAGAGTATTTTGTATTTAAAATAGCTTATAATCAAAATTCCAAAGTATAATAATAGCAAAGCAGTAAAGTCAATACTGAAGAATGAAAGATAACCATAAGATGTGAAGGTAAGGGAAAGAACAGGGTCGCGATGAGCTTGCCAAGACAAGCTTTCCTTAAAGTGATTCGTGGAGTTGTTATTATCCATATCCAAACTGTGATGATGATCCATGTGCCAACACCTAATCTTCCCATCCCTATGTCCACTCCACACCAATCTGTTCCCTTCATCGGATACCAAACACAGTGCAGGGGAAGTCCACACCGATTCCAAGAGCTGCCAAATGTTCATATACTTCGAATTTTTATTTTATGCATAGTCTTCCCTTTTCCAAACTAAGGGTTAAAAACAGAGAAATACTTGGTCAATAAAGAAAAAATATGATCAATAAACAAGTTAGAGACATGACAATAAACTGTGATCAATAAACTTGGACAATAAACAAGTTAGAAAAAATATGATCAATAAACACATATAGACTAGGATTAACCTCAAGACACGGATTACCAAGATCATCCACAACTTGGGGGTTAATTATCCAAAGAATTATTTACAAAACAATAAAAAAGTAAGGCAAGAATAATAAAAAGATACTGTGATTTTAACACAAAAATACAAATCTAAACCTGTATTTCGTCGATTCGTTACTATAAACTGAAACAGTGGTTGTGAATTCCTGCACAAAAACAGGAAAATTGATTAACGATCTATGTCTATATGAATACAAGCGACATCATAGAGAAAATAAACAAGAAGTCAGTATTGTTGATTACATCTTGACAACGAAGAGCTATCCTTCAACATCCTTTCGAGAATATGGCAATGCTCTGCAAGCAGAGATAAAGAGTGGTTAGGGTTTGAGAATCGGGATCAAGTGCTTGTGAGAACGAGAAAATCAAATATATAAGAACAAAAAATTTGAATTAGAGAGAGAAAGAATGGTTAGGGTTTGAGAACCGCAATGCTCTACAAGTAGAGAGCTAGCTCGCTGCCGGTCTCTGTTGAAGAGAGGAAGCATTTACTGCAGTCATTGATTTTGGAGAATAGCGAACAAATGTGGACAATTATAGAAGGGTTATACAAGTATTTACTGTTGAAACAGTGAAAATATGAATGAAACAATGGGAAAATAAATTAAAAATTTTAAGCCTTTATTTTATTTTGTGCCACATTTGTGAATGTCGCAAATGTCAAGTAGCCGCCAAACACTGCATTTCTTGTAGTGCAAGGAATAACTCAAAAATATGATTATGTTTCTTGGGGGATTTTTTTGAAGAATAATTCCAAGGTTGTTTTTACACAAATATAAGTATGTAACAATTGGTGAAGTTTTCTCCTTTTTTTTTAGCTCTACAAGTAAGGTGACGAGAGAAAAGTTAAAAGTGTTTTTCTGTGGTTAGAAGAAAAGGGCAGTTTCGGCTTTTTATGTGATCAAGTGAGGGCAATTCAAAAAATGTGCATATATATATACGCACCGATACCGGCACGAGACACGTGACACGATACGACACGACACTCCAACACATTAATTTTAAAAAATATTAAATTTTGACGCGTTAGGACACATTTTGATATATATTTACATAGTGTATATTATATTTAATATTCAATAATTTAACAAAAAATAAATCTAAACTTATAATATTTATAAATTTTTAAAGAAACATAAGATATCCCAAATATTTATATTAAACTCAATAAAATAGTAATCATAATTCAACGAATCTAATAGTTGGAACTAAAAATTCAACGCAACGCAACCTTTAATTTTTTTTTGAATTTCTATAATGCGTGTTGGAGTGTTGGGGAGTGTCGGAGTATCCGAGAGTGTCGAAAAATGTCGAACACGACACGTCAGAGTTTTTGAAATGTCGGTGCTTCATAATATATATATATATATATATATATATATATATATATATATATATATATATATATATATATATATATATATATATATGAGAAGGGGCGGTTTAGGTGCAACGTGCAATCATGGAGTGATACACACAAATCCAAGCGATCAAGGATATTAACTTAATAACAGACCATATTTGATCAGTAAAAAAATCACGTAATAATATTATGAGACGAGGGGCACATAAATGATCAACAAAGGATGTATTAAGATAATTTACAAGACCAAATATTATGCACGGGAGCACGTCCTAATATATGATTTTGGAACAATATCAATTATGCGCAAAATTTTAGAAATATCATAGACTAACTAATTCAATCTTATACTCTTCGATCTTGCAATTTTTTTAATCTTCAAGCTTGTTCTCCAGTTGGCTATGTAAATTGGCATCTTCAAAACTCCTTTCAAAAGTTATATAATTTGACTTCGGCAACTTAGACAAATTCCACTAATATAACCATCCAAATAAAACACTATTTTTATATATAGTATACTCTGAAATATTTAAAACAAAATATTAAATTAATTTAATATAGAACCTATGAGGACGCAAGTAATTACGTTCCCTTATACAATTAGGGAATGTTGCAACCTAAATAATAAAATAGTAATTATAAATGTCTCTTTGCTTGAATTCTTGTTTTACAATTAATTCAAAACAAATATTTTTTTTTTCCTATTTGGAGTTTTTATTCATAAAGAGTATTTGTATTTCAAAAGTTTATAATTAAATTAAGAAAAAACAAAAACTAAAGTTAGGAGAAGATGAAAACTGAAAAGTTCAAAGAACGTGACAAATTAAGATGACATGTGGTTATCGAAGTGGAATAATATAAGGTAAAGGATATAAAGTTATGTTATTTTAACTGAGAGAAAAAGATAGATCATATGTGAGGGAGAGTGGACAAAAAAGTTAAAGGTATGGGTCCCACTTTTTTGTGAGAATAAAATGATATAAGTTGTGTCATTTAAAATGACAAATACACTTCCCATAACTCATATAAAGAATGAGTTCATTTTTTATACGGTCAATGTAGATAACTTATTTACATTGAGCCCAAAACGACATTGTTTTGAGGTGGAAATCAAGGTATTTTTATAATTATAATTTATTTTAGGGTTGTAATAGTTTTTTTCATTATAGTTTTTTAATTTTTCAACCTAAAATAATGTCATTTTAGAAGTAAATGTAAATAACTTATTCATGTAGAAACATTAAAGCCATAAAGAATATAATAGCGGTTGTAGTTTGTCCTTTAACATGACACAGGAAAATTTTCTACACACATAACATTTTGTGGAGTCCGCACTTTTTAAAGCAAAAAAAAAAATTAAGACACGTAAAATGAATTTTTATAACATTACATAATCACTTTTTCTACAACATAACTCTTATAAAACTTAATATAATATAGTTTCTTTCATTTAGCGTTTGCATTTAATGGCTTAAAGAAATGACTGGACCCACAGTTATAGTTGTTCAACCAAAACGGGAGTTTACTCGGTTTCTTTTTTTTTTCTTCGTTTGCTTTCTTTCATTTTATTCTTTTAAATCTAATTTGGCGTTTCAAATTAAAAAATATAAATCTTACCCAGAAAGGATTTCATTGCGTAATTTTTTTTGGGAAAATATTCCATCCATTTATCATTTCGCGACTAGTCTGATTTGGGCAGATCCACGATTAAGACTTTAAACATATTTTAAAAATAATACTGAAGAGGATCGAACACATCCTCTCTGCTCAGTTCCAAAAATTAAACTACCACTATTTGGTGATTTCGTTGCATAAATGAAATTGGCAAATGGCATCATGCTTCTAGCAACTGCAGGCCTGTAACATATTAATTAGTTAGTCATTGTATTTGAAGGAGTAACACTTTCGAGTATTCAGCAACTGCTTACATTAAAGACCACTTCCGGACCTCATTTTATAAAGACAAAACATTTTTTTTATGTTACGAATTTCAGCTTGTCGCAAAATTCTTGTTGGGAGGAAAAATTTCAGTACTTTGAGTTAAATAATAATCTCATAACTAAAGAATAACAAGAAACCTCCAAAGAAAAAAAGAAAAAGGGCCTTATAAGAAGTTTGTTCCCCTTAACTAGAATTCTTGAGTCTAGGTTCTAGGAATGAAAAAAAAAAAAATCATGGGAGAGCTGTTCCCATAATAATTAAATAACACTTGAATCAAATTAATTGAATAATTAATAAACCGATTGATATATTTAAAAAGAAATAAAAAAAAAGTGCCCTAGAACTAGTCACCCCCTCCCTGTAAAATGGGTGTGTCAATAGGGAGAAAGATAAAAAAAGAAAGAGGTTATATAATAAAATATATGAATACAAGTTATATGAGTGAGCATGTTTATTAGCAATACTTATTCAAGCTCGGGGAGTTTATGTTTCCAGACAGTATCAAGGTTGAAAACTCTTCAATCATCGGAGTTGGAAAATCTCTTAATGTTATTCCTAATTAATTAAATGGAATACGATTTCTGCTTTGAAGCAGATAAATTTGTCTCCGCCACATAGACAAAAGGACAAAGAGAGAAAGAAAATGATAGGCCACTCTTTTTATGTCTTTGTGACACAGATAAACTTGTCTGTTTCAAAAGCATAAATCATATTCCGTTAATTAAATTAAATTAAATTTTAACATAGGGGAAAATTCTTGGTGTTATTATGTATGTTCATACTTGAAAGCCAAACAACTTTCACATAACTATAGACATGTTAACAAAATCTCCTTGACAGAACTAGGAATTTAAATTTTCTCATCCCAATTCCAAGTATAAAATTTCAAAGTAAATTGCTGGAGCAATTATGTACTTCTGTTAATTTTACCAACAACCTAAGGTATATTAATCTATTTTGTTAGGGAATTATTTAATATTTATGTTGGGGTGGGTGGGGAAGCGAAGAATGGAGACAGAATTTCTCGAAGCCTATTTCTGGACCATTTCTATGCATTGACTTGCTCTCCAACTATGACCGAACAACTCTTTTAGATTTTGTTTTTTAAGGAAAAACAAAAACCAACTCATGTTCTGACGAAGTTCCTTTTATTATTAATGCTGGGTTGGCTTCTCAATCTTCTATGTATATATTCAACACATATAGAAGGTACTTTCAAGCCTTTCTTCTAGTCAGAAACAGATAGAGAGGCAGATAAATAGATCCACAAAACAGGGGCGACCTGATACACACAAGGTTAATAACAAGATGGTTCAGTTAAGCAAGATGGCAATTGTTCTAGTAATTGCTGTTGCTGCAGCAGCAATATTTCAAAGCACAGAAGCTGCAGATCACACAGTAGGGGGATCCACTGGTTGGATAAGCTCTCCTTCTGGTGGCGCTTCCTTCTACTCCAACTGGGCTTCCAGTATCACCTTCAAAGAAAATGATGTCCTAGGTGAGTATGAAAACCTACATAGTCCAATTGGATCTCATCATTCTTTTGATTTATGCAACATTTTTAATATTTCTATAATATTCACATAGATTATTTTTCATTAACCAAATCTCCCAAAAATAAAGTTACATGCATGGTTATATATATATATATATATATATATATATATATATATATATATATATATATATATAATTCTCATTTAACATGAGAATTAAATTTTTCCTACACACTCTTCGATTTTTGTGCTGACATGGGTCCTACATATAATTTTTTCTAACACATGTCTCACATGCTTTTTATCTCTATAACATGAGATTTCAATTCTCATTCAACATGAGAATTATAAAACCCTATATATATATATATAGAGGTAGGATCCTTTGACACTGGTCTCACATGTCTCACATGCTTGCAAATCAGAGTCGTTGATCTTTTTTGATCTAACGGCTCTCAGATGAGGTGTCAAAATTGAAATTTGACACCAGTGTCAAAATTGAAATTTGACACCAGTGTCAAAGGATCCTACCTCATATATATATATATATTCCCTTAATTTTTCACTTAACCGAAGCATTTTGAACTTGAAATGTGAATAATACAAATGTACACTTAACCAATGCTGAAATTTTAAAAATTGGGAATACCAAAAATAAAGCTCTAAAGTATTTTATATTATATTTTTAACATACCTT